GGGTGTGCTGTAGCCTGGAGGGGCAGCAGAGAAAGAATAGTGGGAGGGTGTCACACGAAAGTCACCTGGACACATTACTCATTATCTCTGCCTGGATTGGCTGTGAACCACTTCCAAACAATAAGAGAGGAGGGGAGCAGGCCAGCAGGCCAGGGAGGCCAATTAATGGAAACCTGGGCCAAGCAACTTGTGGGTATTTGACTTTGGTGGAGCTTGTGGAATCAGGCACAGCCCATTGAAGTAGGAGGCCCAGTCAGAGATGTATAAGGTACCATAGAAGCTGGCTGCAGCTGGGCTGAGGTGCTTCCAGGGGTTACCAACCCAGTGGTGCCCAGAGTCTGGGGGACACTGCACATGGTTCCCCCTGGAAGCTGAGCCCCCATGGGCTTGGAAAACAGTGCCCTGTTGTCTCTTCAAAAAGCACTTTCATGGCTTCTCTGCACTTTGAACCACCTTCAGAGGTGGATTTATTGTCCCACTTCTGGGAGGTGATGCCTGTCTGGGCACACAGAGTGTAGCATGTCTTGTCTGGATCTCTTTTTTGGCATTACTTTACAATCTGGGAAGGGGGTGTGTGTCTTCAGGAGTCACGGAGGATTGGGTGGGAGCAGCTCTGGGGATGGGCTGGCAGGTTAGAACTGGAACAGGTACACTGGAGATTGGAGCCACATGGGGCTCAGAAGATGCTAGGCATGAAGGTAGCTAGAGATGTTATAACCAGAATGGACCCTGGAACTCCTGAACCCTGATGAGAAAACAGGTTCTGAGTTGACCCACAGAGTCAAGTGGACTGAGACTGGCTTGCCCCAGTGCAGCCTGGGGTACAAATGCCCCAAGACACCTGTACCACTGAGCTGCCAGCCTACATTCTGCTGGACCACTCTCAATGCAAGAAGTAGATTTGGACCCCTGTGTAAATGAGGACTTTCAAGGAGAGGATTGGAACTTTAGATGAGGTGGGACCTTCGCTCCCTCACCCATGCACTGTACCCCTTCCCCAGCTGGTGGTGCAGGCTGGGCTCTTCCATGGCAATGAGATACTGTGCAAGACGATGTCCAGCTTGGAGGTGAGTGTGTGCTCAGAGCCCATGTAGAAGCAGCATCTGGAATTTGACATCAACATCTGTGACCTGCCGTGCATGGCCGGCTCTGCTTTGCACTCTATGCGGTGATGGAGAAGGCCAAGAAGGTGCACTCTAGCAAGAAAAAGTCCAAGAAGGTGGTGGGTTGGGCTGACTGAGAGAAGCCCAGGCCTCAGACACCGGTGAAACTCATTGCTGAGGCCTCTTGCCATCCTGCTCCCACAGGCAGGCACCCTGAGAACAGGGTCCTGGGAGAGCCTGGGGACCCCAGTCTTTCTGCCTGCCCTAGTCTGGCTCCTTAGTCTGGCTTCCTGTGCTGCCTGAGTAACAGCTCATGAGTTGCCTGACTTGAAATATCTAGCCCAGACCTGTGGTCCTTAGGGGTCCTGGAAGCAGCTCCTTTGGTGGAAGGACAGTATTCTCAGGGGTACAGAAACGATGAGTTAGTGGCTGCCTGGGGAGAGTGTGGCTGGGCCCCAAGTCACTAGACCCAGAATGTGACTTGCTCCTTGTCCTGGGCCAGCTATGGGACTGGTGAGCTTACTCAAGTGTCTCTGGATGCTGGGTGTGAAGATGCAGGCAGCCAGGAAGGAATCTTGCTGGCTTAATTACTTAAACTCTGATAGGAAAGAGATAGTGGGTCCTTCTCCTCCTCCTGGGTCTAACTTGGAGACCTTCCATGCAGTCTGGATCTTCTCTCCTGGTTGGCCTGGAGACTGGTTTCATTCTGCATATGAACAAGAAGAGGCTTACTCTGATCTGTAGTATCCTTCTCCAGGACTGCCCAATCGCCTGGGCCAACCTCATGCTGTTTGACTACAAGGACCAGCTCAAGACTGGGGAGCTCTGCCTCTACATGTGGCCCTCTGTCCCAGGTGGACCCAGGCCCAGCAGGGAGAGGC